GATGACGGCCGCATTGTGGTACACGGTCAACGGCAGGGCTGCCACGGCTTCAGGCCATGGGTGCGCGAAGGCGCTCGAGACGGCCTCCTCGTCGACAATGTTGGTCTTGAAGAACGTGACGCCCTGGTCGAGAATCTCGCGACGAGGTGGTTGAAGGTCTAGAACCCGGATAGCGGCCGGGGTCTCGCCCCGAGCAAGCAGATGTGTGACAATCCAGTTTCCGACAAGTCCTAGCATGTGTTAGAAGGTGCTTTTTGTAGATGGGACCCCCCTTGGCATGGCAGCGATTGTTCGCAGCGCATCCGCAGTCTCGGGACATTTTCTGCTGGCAGCTCAGGGCTATAGACATACCCGATCCACCAATCACAATGTAGCGACGGTTCTGCTTGGGAGGCAGACTGCTTTCGACATCCACAGGGTTACGAATCGCATCCTCGTAGGCGGACTTGATCTCTTCGGCTGTCCAGCGGCGAGGAGACAGGCGGTGGACTTCCTCTGGAACCTCAGTCATGCCTCGATTGACATGATAGAGGTAGAGGAAGGTCAGGCCGGACACGGCGACTAATGCAGGAAGCATGGCCAAAACCGGGCTATACTGAGCGCAAAGGTGGCGGGCTTGACTCTATATGATGGGCGGCATAGGGTCCATGACTCCAAGAAATGGACAGTTTGAAAAAGAGTTCGAGGCAAGGTAGATATTTAATTCCAACACATTGGGCCGTGTCCCTGAGCGACAAGCCTATCGGGGGCAGCACCACGGCTGGCGGTTCGAGCCATGGGCGTTGAGTTCGCTTCGAACGGGATCCAAATTTAGTCGCCTCGGTTAGAAAGCGATGCCGCGATCCACAAGCTGAAGCCTTTCGTTGGTTGACCGGAGCATTCTACCGGGCATGTCACGGACCTTTCTTAAGGAGTGGAGGCCTTGAAAGTTGGAAGTTGGAGGTATGGAGCTTGCTGTGGAACTGAAGTGCGATAGTGGAAAGGAGAGCGATCTCTCTCACAAGCGCGGTGCTTGTTCATCCCGCGGTGTCCGCGGGACATTGAGAGTGAGCTTTGACCATCCTCAGTATTCGATTGATGATTGAAACGAATAGCGTGTAGCATCATACCATGGCTCAAAGCTGCCTGATATCGCTCTTGACCATTGCTTCTTCACCATTAGCTGCTGCCCAACCACTTTTGCGGCGGGGAATGGTATGGTAAATGGGATGTTGAACTTGGTGAGTATATTGTTGCATGCACGTGGTAATCCAGACCATGTCACATGCGCCCACGTGATTCTACCTCGAATTGGCCGGATTCTTGCTCGGAATGATCCCGAGCACGAATGGGTCGTCAGTCCCTTCAAGGTTAAATGTCCGAGACTCCATTTGATCTTCCGGAATGTCTCAAATCAAATCCGCTGCCTACGTACAGTGTACTGTACAGCACCTATCTGTCAGCGACTGTGGCCACCAAATGTTCAGTTTGATAGTGGTGAGCGTCGACGAGATTCAGTCTGTGGAGATTATCCGAGCCCAGCTGACTGAGATGGACGATGTCGGCCCTCTATCTAACAATGGTCCAGTCTAGAAAATAGAGAGCACTCTACTCTATATCTCATTCGGTGGGTCCCCAAATCTTGTTAGTCTGACTCTGGGCAGTTGCTGATGCCTTTGAGAGCACAGCTTATACTTTTTCCATTCGCCATAGCTCTAGATCATAGAGACCGAGTGCTTTTAATGGCACAACAAATCCCACATTCAAAACACCTTCGACCCAGCTTCCCAGCGCCCCATCGGGCTTCAAGGACCGCATAATGGAGGGAATACACTTGATGGGACGAGTCAACAACAACGGGACATCGCCAAGGCTCAGATGTATTGAAATCCTCTCAAATCAGCACTCGTGATTGTCAATTGAGGGCCCAAACACGCAGAGGACTCATATTAACCTTGGACACCGAGCAAGGCCTCGAAATAAGAACCATTCGACGCCTGTAGGTCGATCGGCAAACCGGCACGGGCGGCAAACCGGACCCGGCCTGCGATCTCTGTCTAAGTCCGTTGATTGGCTCGTGCCTGTAAATGACTGTAACGTGCTTGCTTTTCCAGTCATTGCATGGATGTGGGTGTTAATCACTCGATTGAATCGATTCTCCAGAATCCAGATTGTGTCCAGTGTCCACCTCTCCACGGGGATGACCCATGAGTTTAATTTTTATGAGTACGTACGTACTCATATGAGCTCCATCATGATCTGGGGTAAGACCGGGTATCGAAGCAGGAGCACCAATCTGGCATCCTGGGAATATTGCTATGCAAAGGAACATGACCTACCCTACTGACAAGGGTAGCGATCGATCAAATCCCGAAACTACTGCAGACCCTCTTGGTACAAGCGACGATCTGGCGCTCGTCGATTCATACTGACGTGCGATACCGGTGGTTAAGTAATAGAGAAGTTACAATCTATCGCCAAAGTCTTATCAGCAAGATTGTTGCCCCACTCTCTCGTTGCTCTCTCGCCAATCTTAAGCCTAAATTGTATTCCTCAACCGAGTTAGCAAGAGTTCCAGGGCCGCTAATCTTCAATAAAAGTCCTTGTCCATGTCAATCCCACTCCTTCAAGAGGGCTAGCTCTCGCTCCAGTGCCTGGCCCCTCTGGACTTTTATTCTCGAGCTCGCCACTCCTCGCACCTCTTTAGCTCTGTCAAGCTGAACCTCCAGGTCCCTGGTACACCTGAACCTGAACGCTATCTATGTGATAGCTTCTAACGACCTCTATCCTATCGTACGAAACCGGAGAACAATTTTACTGCCACATCCTGAAGGCCTTAAAAACCACTCAGCTCATGGAACCTCATTCCTAGTCTTAATATCTAATACATAGCTATATAGAGCAAGTCTCTAGTTTTGCACGTCATATACCGGACTCACACCGGTGCCTCGGCTGTCATAACAACCAGCAAAGATCATGTCGTCCCCGCAGACTTCTCCCCCAGATGTCCACAAAAGCATTCGTCCTAGCGAGGAGGAGACCACCACGAGATATGCCCACTCCATTGCTGAAACAACGTCTTCCGACGAGACGGTCGATCAGATAGAGGCTCTGGCCAGCATCAATACGAGGACATCGCGCATTTCGATACCCTCACTAGCGCGAAAAGTGACATCGATTGGCACTACTGGGACTACCGACCCGAACTATGAGGTCGACTGGGAGGATGAATTCGATAGGACCAACCCAAAGAACTGGTCCCTCGGCTACAAAGCCATGGCGATGTTCTTTCTTTCGTATAACACTCTGATTATGTAAGTTATAGCCATCCTTCTTTACATCCAGGAATTGCCACGCCCCCAGGATTGACGTTACTCTTTCATAAATACCAGAGTCCTCTATTCGACCTCCTACACATCTGGTATTCCGCAAATTGCCGCCGAGTTTGGCGCCTCAAGCACAGTGGTCACTCTTGGACTGACCATGTACCTGATTGGGCTTGCCATCGGGTCTATGTTCATGGCTCCCTTGAGTGAACTCTACGGGCGAAAGCCTGTTTCTGTCTCCTGCCTTGCGATCTTCACAATCATGATCATCCCCTGCGCAGTCAGCAAGAATCTAGCCACCCTGATTGTGTGCCGCTTTATTGGAGCGCTTTTTGGCAGTGTGATGATTTCGACGGCGCCAGGAATGGTTGCGGATATATCGCACGATGATCAGCGCGCGCTGGCAATGTCGATTTGGAGTATCGGTCCCCTCAATGGTCCAGGTATGCGCAAATGTTCGATCTGAGAGTCGGAGATCAGAAAAGGTTGACAATAAATGCAGTGGTCGGTCCCATAGTTGGAGGGTTCGTGACGCAGTACTTGGGCTGGCGTTGGATGGATTGGATTGCTTTGATCCTGTCAGGGGTTGCACTCGTCCTTTCGTGCATACTTAAGGAGACCTATGGGCCCATTATCCTCCAGCAAAAGGCGGCCCGTTTGCGCAAAGAAACTAGTGAATCGCGTTGGTGGTGCCGTTACGACCAGAAGGCTAGCCTGAAGGAATTGCTGACGGTCAATCTGAGTCGTCCATTTGTCATGGCCGTCACCGAGCCGATCTGGTGAGCTGTTCTTTCTACACTTTTCGGGTGCGCGAGACTTACGTGGTATCTTCTACAGTATCTTCTGGAACATCTACATTGCCATTGTCTACGGCATTCTATACCTATGCTTCACAGCTTACCCCATTGTCTTCCGTCAGATCCGCGGCTGGTCTCTCGGCTTATCCGGCCTGGCCTTTCTAGGAATCGGTACCGGGTGCCTTATTACCATCGCCTGCGAACCGCTCATCCGCCGCATGATCAATAGCCACAAGATCGACCCGGAAACCGGCAAGCCCGCCCCCGAAGCCATGGTGTCGATCGTCTGTATCTCCGCGCTTCTTATCCCCGCCGGGGAGCTCTGGTTTGCGTGGACCGGCTCTCCAGCCTCAGTCCATTGGATCGTCCCGATCCTCGCGGGAATCCCCTTCGGTGCGGGTAACACGGGGGTTTTCATTTATGCGACAAACTATCTCGCGGGCAGCTATGGCGTCTATGCGGCATCGGCCATGGCAGGTAACTCGGTCATTCGAAGTATCCTGGGCGGCGTGTTGCCTCTGGTGGGGACGTACATGTACTCGGGCATCGGGCCGAACTGGTCTGGTACGTTGCTGGGATTGTTGGAGGTATTGATTGTCCCGATTCCGTTCGTGTTCTATAAGTATGGATACAAGATCCGAGAGAGGAGTACTCTCATTCGGCGGATGCAGGAGGACAAGAAGCATTTGGAGATGAAACGAAAGCGTCAAATGCAACGAGGTGAGAGGGGGGCTGTGTCTGAGAAAACAAAGATGGAGGTTTGAAAGGGAAGGGGCTTTTCTCGCATTGAGACTTATGCATGAATTGGGGAGAAATAATCATAGGCTCATGTGTTTCCTTAGAGAAAAAAGGCTGTGCATGACTGAAACCGAAAATTGGCGCTTCAGGTGTATGGTTCGAGCTTATACCATGAGCCCCACTGTGAAACCCGAGTGCAATGTTCAGACTTCCATAGCATGGCTCTGATCATCAGGGCATCCGTAGTTGCTGAGATTGGATGTAATACCCCATCACCTCCACACGCACTTTCACGTCAACCCGCGCTCCTCGCTCGCCGTTCGATCTCCAATGAGTCCCGAAGAATCCGCTCATACTCTCCCAACGCCACAGCACCCGCCGGGATCACCAGCACAGCTTCAATGTAGATAGTCGGAAACACAGAGGCAGGGCCAGCTTCATCGGCATCTTGACTTGGCTTTCTTCTTCTCACATACCCGAGCACAGTCACCCACGCCCCCACGCGCAGTTCCTCGGCCGTGACTGATTCTAGCACGGCATTGACGTCGACCAACACCGAGGCTGGCTCTTGCGGGGGTTTACGGTGGGGATAGTTGTGCTCTAGGACGAGGTGGCCTGTTCGGATCAGGTATGTCCTCACGCTAATGAATTGGATTAGCTTCTGCTTCTACGATTAAGTGGAGGTTGCGCGAGGTTTAAAAGGAAGGCAAGTGTATCATCACGGATCTATATAGATTCTATGCAGGGATAGTGGTTGCACATCAGGGCAAGTTCCGACGCACCAACCGAGAAATCGGACTTTCGAATCAACCGGGAGGGAGGGAAGGTCAGAGAGAAAACTGCGGGTTGAGGAAAGGGGGCCGTTCATCCCTTCGGACGATTATTGAGATTTCTTCGTGCCATACATAGCTGGTGTATCTAGATAAGTTGATGCGGAAAGGAAATCTGAAGAATGACGTGGACACGTGACAGACCCCTCCCCGATAGGCTTAGCGCGTATGTCATAGGGCCAAAACGAGGGGAAAACCAAAAGCAGGCGGGTTATCATCCAACTTAACCTGAGGTCGTTGCCTTCTCGCTCCTCACTCTTCTGCCTCCTGCACCGGCTTTCAACTCTAGACACTGTCCTGTATTTGGTCTTCTGTTTAGTTCAGACAGACTTGCAGATTTCCACCTCCTATATCCCGTCACCAACTCCCGGGCCCGATCGAGTGAGATCCACTCATTGCGACCTCATCCCACTCACTCACACCTCCTCGACCGCCTTCCATCCCACTCCAAGGAAACTCGCCGCTCCTCCCGCTCCTCCCCAACAACCCCCCCCCTCTTCCCTCTCGAGCTTTTATACTGCGGAGCGGTGTGAGACGCAGACGCTTATAGGGATACTCCCTCTTCCACACACCCACACACACACACACACACACACACACACACACACACACATTCTAGACCGTCTCCCTTCCCACACACAGTCCTTATCAACAATATGTGGTCCTGGTTCGGCGGCGCGGCCGCTCAGAAGCGGAAAGATGCGCCCAAGGAGGCGATCTTGATGCTCCGCGAGCAGCTGGACATGCTCCAGAAGCGCGAGAAGTATCTCGAAAGCCAGATGGACGAGCAGGATGCGATTGCGAGGAAGAACGTGACGACGAATAAGACCGGTATGTTGTTTTCTTTCCTGTGAATCCACCGTTTATGTGTGTGTGTGTCCGGGGGAAACAGCGGCGGGGCTGGTACCACAAACCTCAAACACAGAGACGACTGATACACAGAACTAAACACAGCGGCCAAAAACGCCCTGCGGCGGAAGAAGAACCACGAGAAGAACCTCGAGCAGACGACCGCGCAGATCGTCCAGCTCGAACAGCAGATCTACTCGATCGAGGCGGCGAACATCAACCAGGAGACTCTCAATGCTATGAAGGCGGCCGGTGCGGCGATGACGCAGATCCATGGCTCGATGACCATCGACAAGGTGGATGAGACGATGTACGTATCTATACAGATTATGGTTGGAGTGGCGGCGCAGAGGGGGCTAATCATACCTGGCTGGGGACTATGTACAGGGACAAACTCCGCGAACAGCACCAACTCAGCGAGGAGATCGCCCAGGCCATCACAAGCAGCTCCATCACCGAACAACCGGACGAGGCCGATCTGGAGGCGGAGCTCGAGGGTTTGGAGCAGGAGGCGATGGACGAGCGCATGCTCAAGACCGGCACCGTGCCCGTGGCAGATCAGCTCAACCGGTTACCCGCCGCGGCCAACGGAGAACGTGAGTTCACTTCCCCTTTATCTCCCCACCAAGCTCAATCTCTGGAAGTCAAAAGACTAACAACATCAAACCTCTAGTCAAAACTCAACCCACGCACATCGAGGAAGACGACGAGGAAGCAGAGCTGGAAAAGCTTCGCGCCGAGATGGCCATGGGATAATTGGGGATCGGGGGCGCTGTGCACCCCCTTTCCTTTGCTTTCATCTTGTACCCCGTACCCTAAGAATATTCCGTGCCGTCTGCCCTTGCGCCTTTTCTTGATGTCTGCTTTGCTCTTTCACACACTTCCTGTCTCTTTCTCTCTTCTGCGTCTTGGAGTTGAGCCGCGTTTGCGCCGCGTTTGCCCGTTTTCTTTTTCGTGTCACTACCACCACCACCACTACCTTACATTCGCATGATGGAATGGAATGAATGAATCAATGTCTACAACTAGATACTATGGACTACTGCCTAAATCCACTGAATTAATCTCAAGGCCCGTGCGCTTATATGTATTGAGTCCCCGGAAAACCTCCGCTCTTCTGGCCGAAACCAAGGCAGACCAGAAATCATCATGCTGGAGCCTGGAGGTGTTCTCATTCTACCTGCTTAGATTGATTGCACCACACTCGTCTGGCGAACGGTCCATGGGACCTCGGGCAGTTGATCCGGTCACGGGTCGGGGATGCGGGTCGGTCGGTCAGCTCAGCTCGACCATCTGGAAGATCTTATCTCGGCGCTCTTGAACTATGAGCTACATTATGCTAAATGCTAAGGTTGAATCACTTTGATTGTTACGGTGTCTGTTTGTTGACTGCTCTTTCTTCGGTTTGAATGGTCGGTGTTTTTTCCGAACGTTGCGTCGAGAGGTATTACTGAGTATGAGCCGAGGTGTAATGAAGGAAGTATGGGTCGCTGCCTGGCTGTCTACGCTTAGGCAACTCCCATTCAACAGGCATCTCCCATGCGAGGGTAGGCAGATACGTATCGAAAGGAATCTCCCTACCAACGGGCCAAAAAGAGTAAAGACGACGCGAGTCAAGCTTCAGCTATCAGATTAAGAAAGCTATTAATACACATTTCAGGGGACCCAATTGATCGATTGATATGAATCGGAAAGCGCCAACTCCAAGGAGATGTTACCCTTCTGCAAAATGATAATAAAGAAAAAGAGGTGAAAAAGGGGGAATGAAAGAACGATCCGTAAGAACGCGTGGAAACCTGACACCTCCGTCCCTGTGCCGAATTGGGTTGAATTTGTGAGCGAAAGGATGAATACTTGGATATGTAAGGAGACCTGGGAAAAGAAGACGCCGTTGCATGATCAGTAGTCGGAAAAGGAACATTTATCGTAATACTTTTCATTCATCCCCGGGCAGCTGATTCCTTGCAATGGCTCTCCAAACGTGATGGGGTATGGCTCAGAATAGCTAGCTATTCGAATTGCCTGCAGGATTGGCCCTGGGAAGGGGAAGAAGAACGTGCCACACATCAAGGGAACCAGGCGTAGCTCTTGAGCGGATTGCTACGAGCTCCGTCAGTGGCCTCGCTGGCCCATTTCGACTTCCAATGCAATTCATTTGCGGCGGCATCAAGAAGAGCTTCCTGGCAGTCAGAGGGGAGCTCCGCGATGATTTCGGGGCTCATGAACTCGGCATTCTTTGGATCCGCGACGCTGAGGAATCCATTGGAGCCGACATCGTGGACATCACCGTCCGGGCCGGGGACGCCGAGACCTGAATACGGAGCGGTTTCAAAATGGACATCGTGGATGGCGAAGCGACGAGAGAGGGCCATGGGGACAGAGGAGAAGATGGTAGTGGTTTCAGGGTCGGTCGGTTCGGTTGTTGCTACTGCCGTGGTGTCGCTGGCGTCATTCATCGACTCATCGGCTTCCTTATCCGCCATAACGGTTGACTCATTGGTGTCTTTACCATTCGTCAACCTGAGTGTCGACATTCCCTGTGCCAGTCGACTCGCAAGGCGCGGGTCAGGAGGCGGTACACGCTCCCAGCGAGCATGAGAGGGCTGCATGATCTTTGGGTACTGCATGAGGTTGGTGTGGATGTCATATTGACCATCGAGATTCATGCGACGGGCTTGGGAGAGAAGGCTGTTGAAGTTGCTGTATCCGTACAATCAGTATAGTCTAACTAGCCAAGTCAAGAGATAAGACAACACATACCTTGCTTCGCGAGCGTGCTCAAGCATCCAATTGTCGCCTGTGACTGTGACCTTGCGCTTCTTCGAATCCACCACCTTACCCGTGGGCAAGGGGGCTGCGGGTGTGGTAGTGTGGTAGACGCTACTGGCTCCATGCCATGCGACATACTGGTTCTTGTTATAAGATTCTCCCGGGGCGGGGAGTCTATCCTCGGGGACAGCGAGTTCACCTTCCACATCTCCCCGCTCTCTCGCAGCCTGGGTATGATAATCGTCGACGACCTTCTTACCTCCAACGATAATCTTGGCGCCAAACTCCCGGAAGACGGACCGGGCAGTGACCACACCGATAGCTCGACCTTTGTAGGAGTGGGGGATGATTTCTCTTTCGATCAAATCGCGCTTCGCGTCATCGTCGATGATGATCTTGTACAGAAATTTGTGTTTCTGGAAGAACAGATATGAATCCCTGAATCCAATGCAACGGGCCGGCTCCGTAGACAACATGTACTTCCGGTCGCCACGGTTAAGGAGTGTGAAAACGCGAACTCGGTAGTCTCGGCCACCCAGCAGATTTCCGCACTTGTCGACCTTCGTCTCACCCTCCGGATCGTCGGGCAGAGCTACTTCATCGTCGATGACATCCATCATGTTTCCTTCCTTGTCGATTGGAACCTGCGTGACATGCGACGGTCCGCGATTACGCGCCCAACGTCCACCGCTGGCAGCAGGTCGTCCTCGTCTCCTCTTGACAGGCGTGCTCACATGAATCGGCGCGGGGGCGGAACCGTCGTCGGGCGCATCCCAGTCTGGGGGACGGTTCTTGGGGGGGCGGCCTATGCGACGCTTGCGCGGGATGGCTGAGATGCGACCTCCCATGCGAGTTGGTGTGTCGCCCCGTGATGGCGCGTTGGAATCTTGTGCAGGTGTTGCCGCCTCTTCGTCTTCCTGGACCGGGTCTGTTGGACCTTCCACATCCGGATCCTTGTCCGACGCATCTCCAGGATCTGGCATAGCAGGCGAGGAGCCACGCGACGGCGGTGCTTCGATCATCTCTTCGTCAGAGGCATCGGGGAGCGGAGGTGCGGCATTCCCTAAACGGAAATCAATATTCGCGCTCATCATGGATTCAATTTCGCACGCCCTAGCAAGCAGCAAAAGAAGAATAAACGGGAAAGGCAGAGATGGGATATCATACTCATTGACTGAGCTGCTGCCTGGGCAGCCGCTCGAAGTTTGCGGGCCATCGTGACTGATAGCGAGCGACCGGTTGGAGTTGAATGGAAGGAGGGAACGGGGACGCCAAACAGAGTAAGGGCAGATCGTAGTGACTGGAGGAAGCGCTGCCTGTCGCGCTAAACCAAGAGGAGGATCGGACGCGGATCTTTGGTTTGGCCGAGAATGCTTTCATATCACATGATTTGAGACTGAAAGACTGGGCTTCCTGCCTCAGGCATGAGGGAGATGCTGCCTTGCCACGTGCCAACTTCTGTTTCTCTTCCCCTTCCAGGCTTTCCCCTTTCTCCAATTCTTTCCCTTCCTCCACTTCTGCCCCCCTCAATGGCGCGATTTCATTGACACTCGCTGCCGAATGATGTCATCGCTTCCTTTGCCCCGTCGATCGCCGACACTTAACTAGCGCTTGCATTGAGTTCTGATTTTCCGGAAAACCTCCTCTCAAACTTATCTACGGGCTTTCAATTGACATTTCGGGCTCCTCCCCACCATGTGTTGCAGGAGGAATATGCGGGATTTTCCGTGGATGGTAAGAGGTGGACTTTACTGGGTGTTATGAGCAGGTCCAGGAGCACTGCATACTGCTGCTCAATGAGGGCTTGAGCGACCACCCTGGGTTATCGCGATAAGCTAAGCACAGACATTAACTCACCACTGGTATTAACAAGGTACGTAACAACTTATCGCCTGCGCTTCATCCCAGCTTCACATGCGGTACAGAGAAAAGGCGGTGGACATTCTCTTTTTTGACTTTTCGACGCTTTCTGAAACCCCTCTTGCCTTTGCCCCTCCTATCTGCCCCCATCTCCAACCCCACCCCACCATGATAGGGTGCCTCTTCTCCGCATGGGTTGAATATCAGATGCATCTCTCTGAGGGGTGGTCGGGGACCTTCTCTCGTGCAATCATGTCGATCGCGTTGAAAGGGCGATCATGTCGTATACTGAGTACGCCGTAATGTTCATCTCTTCCACGGCGTGGTTTATTCCGGAGCAATGGATCTTCTGCTTGCTGCGTGTGGCCCGGCGATCGCGCTTACACAGCTTCTGCTGCAGGTGACCGGCCTCACTGATCACAGGTCGCCCTTGCCGACCCTAGCAACAACCCTAGATCGCCCAAACGGCCGGTGGTGACACTGGGGACCGCGCAGCAGGATTTTGGACTAGAAGCCGGGAGGAAGAAAGTCTATCAGTAAATTCTACATGGGCCACCCCTATCACTATTGGAGGCTGCTCAACAGGAGATATCGTTTCGATCCGCGGGCGCAGCTGCAAGCTGTGTTTTACCTTCGTCCTGATAAAAGTCAACAACAATGCATTATGGAGTGATCTGCCCCCACCCCAGAGCGTGCGTCAAGGCCAAAAACTCAAGCTGACTGACTGGGTCCCTCGGCTGTCACTGCCGTCGAACCAGCTGTCTTGGGAGATCGACTATCCTGTTCCGCTCTCCTCCCCACGGCTACTGTTGCGATGACGCGCGAAAGTCGGTAGCTTGCAGTAATAGATAGACATTGTATGGTGTGGGCACAGAGCTTCCCCACCGACCATGTATGTGCTATGCTCAGCGGCCCTGAAATTCGTGAGGTGCACATGCAAGGAGATGGTCAGCCCGGCAATCCCGCTAGTTTCCGATGGAGGGGTTTTCTTCTTTTTAGGAGGATCGTTATTTTCAACATCATGAGCATCTGACTTCTATTCAATTGGGATAAAAGCGAATCCAGTGGGGAGGGAGGGAGGGGGAGGCTGTTGCGCAACTCGTAGTCAACTTAGGGCATCTGACTAAGAAATTAGGAATGCACGGAAAGTCTGAGGATGATATCGACAGTATAACAGTACAATATAATATAGCGAAGACTCGACATCGAAGGCTTGCTTGTACGTAAATGCGGCATGCGGCTATACTACTCCCGAAATAGATTCATGTATGCTGCAGAGTAACCATCATCTCAGCCGGGCAAGGCTATGTAAGTTATGCCCTTCCATCTGAGATAATCCGGCTTTGACCGCGACCACAACAACATGAGCTGAAAATCCTCCGCGGAAGTGTGATGTCACAAAATCGCATCCCTTATCATCCTAAGGGCTTGTAAATTATCC